GAAGTTCTCAAAACGGCAAAGAAGTGATTATAAACAATTATCGTATATGAGACAAATTGTTGTGTCACCCAAGAAGAGCTTTTAGCAGTATGGACGGAAGTTCCTTGTTAAGAGTTAACTAGTTTGTCTTGTAGTGGCTGCCTTATTTTAAAAATCCGTACTGAAAAAGCAAGCTTGATGGAGAAATTATAAAGATACGAATTCCAAATAAAATATCGCAACGCTGATAATAACCTTTCGGGAACACTTGCAGATATTGCCCAAGGCAGGGAAAAAAGGCCGCCAAATATTCTGGTTGCGGTTAACAGATAATCACGCAAGTGTGCCAAAACTAGGACAAATGCTGACAAAGGCATAATCAAAGATGATTTCAGAAAGGCTTAAAATGCTGACAAGGAATTGGATTTACGACGTGGTTGGCTAGAAAATGTACAACGACCTGGATTGCAAGAAATCTCTAGTTTTGTTCAAATGGTGAATGGGATCATGCTTCAATGAGATTAATTGTGCTTGCTAGATGACTTAAGTACCCGTCAATAAGAGAGTCCAGATAAGAAAAGTCGTTGTGCGACCATGATGGACAAAGTTTCACGTGAACTGCAAAGTACTTGGAATGGTGCCTACATTAAATTCAATAGGACGCTGGCTCGGGTAAGGGATCGGTATTATTGAATCAACTGTCGGAGAGATGTCGACGCATGTGAAAGAAAGCCAAGAAAGGACCCAAAACGCGATCTCGAGGAAAAATGAAGCAATAGTTGTCTGGTGGCCAGGAGTAATGCCAATCCCCAACCAAAAGTCGGTAACAGTTGATGGAGCAACTTTATTGAAAAACATCATAGCTAAACATGGCGTAATGGAGGAACTTCATAACAATATTATGGCAGGAATTTTGAACGAGAACGACTTCACTTCATCTATAGTCGGAATTGTCGAGAAACACAATTGGACCATCAATCAACACTTCTCGATGTTTGTGGATCACTCTCTTTTCTTTTTGGCTTCTACAGGCTCTCAGCATAAATTCACCAGCTATACACCATCAAGGCCAAGCCACCGGCCGATGAATACGAAGCTTCACTTCCAGTTTATGTGAACAGACTTAGGCTATGGTCAGAATATAACCAAATGTTAACCAAAGTAACCGAATCGGTTGACAGATGGTTACTGAATATTCCGGTTACTTAAGGAGCGCGAATACGAAAAAAAAAAAAAAAAAAAAATTGACAGAAATTACAGATAAAACCAACAGAACCGACATCCGATGGCCGGTAACTATTTTGACATTTGGTTAACCAGATTTCAGGAAACCGAGGTCCAAAAGTAACCACTTTTCCAGGAACCATGCAGGGTAATTTGATTACTTTCGGACCGCGAAACCACAATCCTGGTTATATTCGGACCACTGCCTTAGTGTGGTTCACGATTTTGCTGGAAAAAGTTACACAATGAATAGCAAGTGGTGTAATCTCCTCGAAGTCCAACAATGATATAACCTCATAGTACGGGGTAAATGTAGTGAATTTTACATTTAAAACTTGTACTATGGATTCTCCATATGGAAAATATCCCAATTAGATTCGTCATACTGTCGAATAGATGTACTTTTTGAGTTGCTAGATACAATTCGCCTACAAAGGTGATTTTCAGTTTGTGCTTTATTTGAATTCGAGATGACACCACTTGCTATTTGGGCTCACAAATATGATGTCATTGTGGCTGTTAATTTTGCTTTCTGATATGATATGTCGACGTCCAACTCTCGAAGCTAGTTACAAGCCGAGAGAAAATTTGCACAAACACCGGAGCGGCATCCTAGGATAAAAGAGGAAAATCAGAAGCTTGCGGCTGAGCTGAATAAGACCTACGCCTACGTCCCAGAAATCGAAAAAAATTTCGTTTCATGCATGAATAAGAACTCAAAGCAGCATCTCCAATTTTCACCTAGAACTATGTGTTTGAGATCCACTGAAATCATTGAGATTTGAATACTTTCAAATGTAAATAAACTACCTACTAGAATTACTGTACGATTTGAAGAAACGACGCTTTGATTAATTTATATGTATAAGCTTTCCGAATAAAGATGACAGATATCCTCATTAAAACCTCAAAAATACAATAAAACGATTATATTGACAAAGTCAATCAACTGCGTATTTGTTATTCATTTTAACTTGATATGATTACCATAGAGCTGTCGATGAGCCAATAAAAAATAAACGATCATTAATATAATGTCCGTTTACATCACGTAGAGTTTTATAGCGGAAGGCGCGTCTATTAAATTTAATTTGTATATTATAAATCGTTGAGGTGATAATTTTAATTACGAGCCACAATTGGGTTGCATCAATAGAAATTAAGGAAATGCTTATGATTTAAGTGTTTGAGTTTTTAATATAATGAGCTTTTGCCCTTATTCTATAGTTGAATGTGGGTGGCGAAATTGCAGGATCAATATGTTCTATGAACTTATAATTTTAAAAGGTATATGCAGTAGAAACTTTTGAATAAAATGCTTGAAATTTGTAGTATACATATTTGCAGAGAAGAAATTATTGAATAATGGTCATGAGAAAACTGACTTATTGACAGTCAAAAAAAAAGAAAAATTATTTATGAACACAAATGAGAGCCATAAGTTTACATTTATACAGTGACCTTTGATGAAAGCAGGATAAATTGAAAGTGACCACAACTTGAAACATAAATGATTATAAAAGTTGGTGGAAGAAAACTATTCATATACATTTATCAAAAAAAACTTTCATAGGGTCAATCGATGATATAATATTATGATTTGAAATAACAAGACGTACACGAAATATATGATGAGACGAACGATACTTACAAAGTCATCACCTCAAGACATAAAATTTACATTCATATCTTAATAAACCAGTAGGTAAAAACTTACCGTCTCAAAAGTATAAAATGCGTTTGCCATTAGAAAAATTTCAATTTATATTTAAACACATTCTTATACATTCACTAATTTCAAGATTTAAAGTTGACAGGTACAGTTTTTGAAGTCGTGACCTAATTTGGGAGCAACAGTAAAACAAAATATGCACTTACACATTATCAAGTTAAATTTTCGAAAACCCTAATCGTAGAAACATTTCCTCGTAGTGCGAACTTTATGGATCGCACTGTTTGGCGCTTGGATTTTTCGAGAATGGTTTACTATTGCCCCTCGTGCCAACACAAATATTTGTCTACCTCTTCTTGGGGTTGCTAAGGAAATGAGCTGTAGTACCTACGCATTTCTATTGTTTACGATTTATCATTCCATAAGTTAACTAAGGAGGGGAAATAGAAAGTGATAAAACAAAAGATAAGTACTGAAACATCGAGCTCTAAAGCAGTGCAAACTGACAGAAACAGCTAAAAAGAAAAAACCTGAAGAGAATAAAGCATAAAATATATGTGTATGCAAATATTCTGAAAGAACTAGGTAAGTGTGAAAAGTAGAAGAATAAACAACAAAAACAATCGAAATTAAAACATACGCGAAATAAATTAAGGGAAACATAATTGTATAAAAAAAAGACATCACGGATATAGAAACATGCAAGAACATCTCACATGTGGAATACAAGGAAAAATAAAGAGCATTGATATTACCAATTTCCAAGAAACGCCAAACACAGGGAACAAATATTTGTGAATATACAACACCAAGCACTGCAACAAAATTACTTATAAAAAATTACCAGAAGTTGGACGAAATTATAAATCCCGTCATTCCTAGAAGAAAAATTATGAGAACAAGGAAAATGAGTGAACCTAGAAATTATAGATTTAGAAAATGCATTTGATAAAGTACCTACCACGGAAAAAATTGTGAAAATTGACGCTAGGAAAAGAAGCGGACCAAAAGGATAAACCTAATATCAAAAATAATTTGATTATAATTACGAGAGTTTTACCAGAGAAAAACTATTTGGGCCGGTAGATCTAAACCCAGAGCCTTTCCGTCTGATCATGGATGAGAATGAAATTATAAGAGAATGTTTACGAAAGAAGCTCAAAGTGCGATAGAGAATATAGGTCAAGAAAATAAAAAGATGCTGAATAAGTACAAAACGAAAGAATTTTTTTATCCGTAGTTGAATCCTGAACAGATAAGATATGTGTGCCTAGACCTTTATTGAGAAATCCACTAAAGTTATGAATCATATGGAGGAAATTGAAAACTTTATAAATATCCAGATTATTCATTAAATTTAATGTTGTGTATGAGAAAATTTCTATTTTCGAAGGACATTAAAAAATATTGAAAGCAACTATTTTTGTCTTGGCATCGATAAAATCATTAGTTTGACAGTTTCCCAACTAGAACACGGACTCTTTTAATGAGATTAGCATTGTATTATCAAGAGCAGCGAGTTTAACAACAAAAGCGGCAAATTTAAATAAAAACAAACAAACAACGTTTGACTGATGATGTCAATATTTAATCCAGTCATTTATTTTTAGCTTCCTAATGAAAATGTTTGACGTTGGAAAATAGAAAATCAAGGTTGGAGGGATGTTAAACAAAGCTACTTCAATCTATATGAGTTGGTCTATTAATATTCATAGAAAATTAAGTCGTTTCAGTCATTTCAATCAAATAATGCTTCAATCACGTGTAATCTTGCAAACAGAATTAATTTCCTAATTCCTCATCAACAGCAACCGCGCTTGCGGTAATGATTTATTTATTTTAAATGGAGTTTTCTGTTGTTTTTCTGCCGCATGGAATGTTTTATAAGGAAGCCTTTCTAACCCCATGTAAGTGACGTAATCTATATTAACGTATTATTGTATTGTGGAAAAATAAACAGATTTTCTCAGATGAAATAGCTAGAAATTTTATAGGAAATTTTTTTCGCAAAAAAATTATAATCAAGATATTACATATTATGCCAAGTTGAATAGTATTGTCAATATAAAAATATACATTATTTTGATTTTTTTGAATGAAAAATTAAAAAAGTCTGGATACGAACCCAACCGCGGCCAAGTCCGGTTCGCAGCCTTCGGTTTGGGGCGGCGGCACCATCGTCTGTTTGCATCTCTTCTCTAGGAAGTCGCCGGGGCCCTAGAAGAAGGCGCCCAAAAAAACGTTTTCGCGACCTTTATGCAACTAGCGCCCGCGCGTCCTCGAAGCTGCATTCTTACTGAAACTTGACTGAAGGTATCGTAACGTTGCTACAACGTGCTCCCGGCCTACAATCGATTCTGAAAGGTGCGAAAAGATGCGCAGTGTGGGTGGCGAAATTGCATGATCAATATACGCTATATCGGATATCGATCTGTTACCCTCATCAATGATGAATTATTCTTGTTTTGAATTTTCCGCACCTTCTTCAGCCTGTCAAGAGTCGAGAAGCGCAAGAGATTCAATTTAGATTTTTTAAGAGAAAAATATATACAGTTACAATTGAAGTTCTTATTTCCAACGATTCACAAATCAAGTGCTTCAACTTTCACAAATATTTCTTGCTCAATTCTTTTGCGTGAAGTAGATTATCCTACCTAAAAAAACATATATTTCACGTATTTTCATTTCTATCCTTATGAGTTCGAAGTGGAAAACTTGGAGAGTCTGAAAAAACCAAATGAATTTGAGTTCTCTATAGCAAAAGTTCAAAAACTAAACATCACTATACTTTTTTGTGTTTACAGACATCCATCAGGAAACCCCCGTGATCTCTTAGGATACCCTCCAAATGTTGAGCGGAAGAAATTAAGTGACGATTAATCCTTCCTCCATTTGAACAAGTTAAGGTTAAATCGTTCAGGAATTGAAGTAGGAGGCAGGGACGCAAGGACTTCCAGAAGTGGGCAGTACGCCATCAAAAAGAAGCGCTATATTTAGAGGTCCTCGGGGTAGCCAAATCTACCACATACAGATTCTTGATTAACTTTTTTTCTCCTAGCTGGAATCAGGCTGGCCAGATCGTTGAAATATCATAGTAAGAGCTATAAAAAAACGACAAGTCAGCAACCTAACGTCTATGTTCGAGAGATTACAATGAATCGGTGAGAGTTGGATTATCGATCATTTTCATTGCTCCTATTTGTACTTCTAATAGAACCAATGCATCCTTGGGAGCTTCGCTCCAGATGTGGGAACAGTATTCCATACATGGTCTGATATATGAGCCTTATAAAGCAGAAGAAGTTGTTCAAAAGTAGAAAAGTTTTTTGGCAGGAAACAGGAAACCTAATTTATGAAAAACGGTTTTGGCGATCGAAGATACATGGTCATGCCAAGACAAGTTGGTCGATGCGGTCACCCCAAGAAGAGATACTGAGGGATTGATAGAAAGGTTTTGTCCCGACTGTTGCTTGGGTTTTGGAAGCATTGAATTTGACTAAGTTGTCGCATGGACGCCAGGATTAGTTTCAGGGAGGTGCATACAGGCAGTGGCGGCGCGTGGACCATTATATTGGTTCAAATTACTAATTTAAGAAGGTGAATGCCCGACGCAGACGCTGCCGGAGGCGCGAACATTTTTCCGGGAGCCTCGCCCAAAAACGGTTATTCGGAACTTTCAAAAAAATAATTTTTCTAGGTGATTGATGATGTGAAGTTATATGATGTTTTTACCTCGGTGGAAAGTGGCATGGGCTTCTCAGAATTTATTACTTTTTTCGGGCTATCAACTCGTAGAAATTGAAGAAAGGACCCCGCACAAAAGCATAGGAAAGTGACCCGCAGTGGGATTTGGCTGTGTGTGAGGTATTGAGTTTCTGATCAAATGTTCTTATTAGCACAATCCTCTAAGACCAGTGATTTAGCTCCCAGGGCCGTATTTAGTATAGGTGCCCAATAAACAATGACACTTTTTTTTCTCAGATTATGTATTTAAACGCGGAAAATTGTATAATGTTAGTATTTGTGTTTTAGCACAATTCCTTTGTGAATCATGTATTGTCCTACAGGACCATATTTAGTAAAGCTGTATTTGCCAAGTGGTACCCGAAAAAACCCGAATTAAAAATTGATTGTGTATCGTGTTATAACTTTTTTATTTCTTGTCATATTTTGATGGTTGATAGCTCGTTTGTTAGAAGACAAATGCAGCTTTCTTTTCCAAAACGGTTCAGTTTAATGTGATTTATATTAAGAGTATAAAAGTAGGGGTCACTGTGAACTGTTAAATAAAAATATCAATATCAATCAAATCTGCCTTGGAAAAAATGCACACAAATTTTTTTCTATTATTATTTGACACATTTACAGTTTGTGTTCTGTTTATAGAATTTCTTTGAGTTTAAGCCTATTCTTCAAGTTGTTTTTTGATTTTTATGAAACACTTGTCTTTAAAAAGTGTAAATGGATTCCATATTTCTATGTTATGTCTGTATGACGGTATATGATGTACGGAGAATGGCACGGATCGACCGAGTGGGTGACGTCCATAAAAGGGAAATTGCTGTTATACAAGACGAAATGAGAGAGGCCATATAAACTAAGAGGTAAGCCCTGAGACAAGGGTGTGTATAAATTGCAATCTAGGAATTGTAGATGAAATTGCTTTAATCGAACAAGATCCCGCAAGTATACCATACATACGATTAAACATCATAAGACAAAGATCCCACCAAAAATGCTGTGTATGCAATGCCCTTGAAAATCTTGTAAGAATATCTTTAGCAGCCCGAGTTAGTGTATTTATTAAACAAAATATTTACATTCCTGAGGGAGTAAGATGTTGCAACCATCATTTGGACGAACAAAGACTCATGCTCAATGCTTTGTTGCCTAGATTAGAGTCTGTAAATTGCCCATACCTTTTGCAAGGAAAAACTCTCCAAGACTTCCTGCAAGGTCTTCGTAGCGTTGCAAATAAAAAAACCCAAGATTTTTGTGCTGAAAACTCCTATGCGAATGACGAATTTAAAATAATAAATTCCATTTCAAAAAATCAATTTCAAGAATTGTTTGGGTATTGTGATCCTATTCCCGGTGAAGCTGGATTCAGATATTTACACAAGAAAGACCTTTTAGCATTTCTGTGTAAGCTAAAACAAGGCGTATCTGACGAATTTTTAGAGATAATTTTCACTTCTACCACAAGACAGTCGGTAAGCTTGGCAATTAGCAAAGTGAGATTGTCTTTGAGGATCAGATTTTTTTTTAGATTATATTGGATTTCAAGCAATCACTCATCATCAGTATATAGAGCGACACCTTACTCCGCATTTTTAAATGAGCTTTATAACCCCAAACCGGAAAATCCGAAAGCAATAAGCTTAGTAGACGCTACTTATGCCTACATCGACAAAAGTTTCACTTTTCGGACTCTTAGGCAGACATTTTCTCAACATAAAGGTCGCCATTTGGTAAAACCGACCCTACTGGTTGCTCCCGATGGCTACATTCTCGCTGCACTGGGTGTTCACTTCACTGATGGGCGAAATACTGATAGCATGATTCTGGAAAATAAATACGAAAATGATGTTCAGGGTATGAGAAACTGGGTTTTGGAGGGTGACATACTCCTCGTCGACAGAGGGTACAGAGATGCAATACTCCTTTTAAATAGAGTGGGGATCAATTACAGAATGCCAGCGTTTATGCAACCAGGAGAAAATCAGCTCTCAACGGAAGCAGCAAACGATAGCCGGTTGGTAACAAAGTCTCGATGGGTAATAGAAAGTCGTAATGGACATTTTAAGTCAATTTTTAAATTATTTGATAGTGTTATCAATATGCAACATCCTCGACACTTGAAAGACTTTTATATTATTGCTGGCGCTATTATTAATAGATATCATCCACCAATTTTAATGGCAAATGCTACAGTTGAACTAGCAAGAACTATGCTAGGCAGATCTAGACATATTAATCTTGTTCAATAATGGGTGGAAGAAGAACGTTTACTCAATCGACATGGATTATGGCAGCAACTTAATAATGAGCATGTACCTCAATTTCCACTTCTATCTATGGATTACTTAAGACAGTTAACTTTTGGAACCTACCAAATTAAATTATCAGCTTCTTATGTCCAAGACAGAATATTTAGAGATGATCACGAGTCATTCGAAATTGACCTTAGACTAAAGGAGCCTGGGTTTATTGGATTGAGAGTATATTCTCGATTCAGAAGAAGAGAAAAATACCAAGTATTTATTCAATACAATTTGCATGAAAACCAGCCTGATGAGAATAATGAAGAAGACGTATTGGTAACAGGATACTACTGTAGTTGCAAATCAGGGGCAAAGACATTAGGAACATGTGCTCATATTTGTAGCATATTGTGGTATTTGGGATTTGCGCGCCATAATCAAAATGTCAAATATCCATCGACTTCTATATGCTACAACATATTAAAGATGCCGCTAATCGTCCAGTGCAGGATGCGATACCCCATTAGCTGTAAGTGTTCGGGTATTATTTCGGAAATATAACCAAAATGATAGGACTAAAGTGTGCTTTTTTGAAGGTTAACTTTTGTGTTCTCTTTCACTACCCTGGAAATATCGGTTTCAACTTTGTTAATTATGAAACAGTATAGTGTTTTTTGTAGTTTGTTAGAGTAAAATGCACATTCAACTTTAACTGCATTCTTTATTTTGACTGCAATTTTGTTTTTCTTTTTGCGATCAAAGGAAATCGATTTTTAAAAAATCATAACTCGTTTTATTCTGTCCAAAGCTAGAACTAAAAACGTGATCCAGTAGTTTCATGATTTTGGCAGAATGGCCAAAGGTCCTAACAATTTTCAAAGTAACTCAGTAAGTATTTGACCTATTTCAACCAAGTGAAACGTTGTCATGTTTACATTTGTTGTTCATATTTTCCTCTGTTACTTTCTTCCTTAAAAAGCTACGAAATGTCCTACTACTTGGTTGAGCCCGCCATATTGGATATTAAGATAATGGCGATTTTTTTAAACTGAAAAAGAAAGTTACATTTATCTATCAAATGAACTATCAACCATTAAAATAGGAGAAGAAATGAAAAAGGTATAACACAATAAATTTTTGATTCGGTTTTTTTGGATTATGGATATATATTTGGAGTATAGCTAATACAGCTTTACTAAATACGATCCTGTAGGACAAAACATGATTCACAAAGGACTTGTGAAGAAAAATACTAAGATTATACAATTTTTCGCATTTAAATACATAACCCGGATACGAAATGAAAACTTATGGGTTTGAGAAAAAAGTGTCATTGTTTATTGGGCACCTATACTAAATAC